GGAGGACAGAAGGGTCAGGGAAGACATGATAACGACATACAAGATACTGCAGGGAATAGACAAGATGGAGAGAGACAGGATGTTCCAGAGAGGGGACACAGAAACAAGGGGTCACAATTGGAAGCTTAAGACTCAGACGAGTCACAGGGACGTTAGGAAGTATTTCTTCAGTCATAGAGTCGTCAGGAAGTGGAATAGCCTAGCAAGTGAAGTAGTGGAGGCAGGAACCATACATAATTTTAAGAAGAGGTATGACAAAGCTCAGGAAGCAGAGAGGGAGAGGACCTAGTAGTGATCAGTGAAGAGGCGGGGCCAGGAGCTGAGTATCGACCCCTGCAACCACAATTAGGTGAGTACACACACACATGCACACACACACACACACACACACACACACACACACACACACACACACACACACACACACACACACACACACACACACACACACATGACTAGGATGGGTAAAGCTAAACCACAAAAACGGGGGACCACACAGGCATGAGGAACTTCCTGCAGGAGGTTCAGTGGAAAAGAGAATTAGTAGGAAAATCAATAATGGAAATAATAGAATATGTGACAACTAAATGTAAGGAGGCAGAGGAAAGGTTTGTTCCCAAGGGCAATAGAAACAATGGGAAGACCAGAACGAGCCATTAGTTTACCCAAACGTGTAGGGAGGCAAAAACTAAGTGTGCTAGAGAATGGAAAAAGTACAGAAGACAAAGGACCCAGGACAGTAAAGAGATTAGTCAAAGGCCTAGATACGAGTATGCACACACAAGGAGGGAAACTCAGCGGCAGGATGAAAACGGCATAGCATCGAAAGACATGTCTGTCCCGAATGTGTTGTATAGCCACATCAGGGGGAAGAAAACAGTCAAGGACCTGGTAATCAAGCTGAGGAAATTAGGTGGGGAACTCACAAGAAATGAACAAGAAGTGTGTGAGGAGCACAACGTGAGATTTAAGAGATTGCAGTGGAGACAGAAAGAACTCCAGGAAGTCAGAATTAGGGGGTACACCAACAAGGAATTTACCAAAAAGTGTTGGATGAAATATGCACAACCGAGGAGGTGGTGAAGAAGCTGCTAAGTGAACTTGATACCTCAAAGGGGGTGGGCCCTTACAGAGGGAGCAGAAATGTTGTGTGTTTCAGTAACAACAATTTTCAACACATCCACTGAAACTGGGCAACTACCTGAGGTATGGAAGACGGCAAATGTAGTAACCCATTTTTAAGAAAAGAGATAGACACGAGACACTTAACTACAGACCAGTGTCACTGACGTGTATAGTATGTAGAGTCATTGAGTTTATCAGGAGGAGACTGGTGGACCACCTAGAATGGAACCAGCTTATAAATGACAACCAGCATGGATTCACGAAAGGAAAATCATGTGTCACAATCCAACTGGAGTTTTATGGCAAGGTAATGGAAGTAAGACACGAGAGAGAAGAGTGGGTAGATTGCATTTTCTGGGACTGCAAAAAGGCCGTTGACACAGTTCCTCACAAGAGATTAGTGCAAAGCTAGAGAATCAGGCACGCAAAACAGGAAGGGCACCTGAATGGATCAGAGAATACCTGGCAGGGAGGCAACAGCAAGTTATGGTATGTGGCTAGGTGTCATAATAGGCGCCTGTGGTGAGCAAGGTTCCACAGGGGTCAGTCCTAGGACCAGTGCTATTTTTGGAATTGTGAATGACATTATGAAGGGATAGGCTCCGAAGTGTCCCTGTTTGCAGATGATGTGAAGTTAATGAGGAGATTTAAATCAGATGAGGATCAGGCAGGATTACAAAGAGACCTGAACAGGCTGGAGGCTTTGTCCAGCAACTACCTACCCAAATTTATCCCCACCACATACAATATCATGAAGATCGGGAAAGGGCAAAGTCAGCAGACAGAGTATAGGCTAGGCGATCAAAGACTGCAAACCTCACTCAAGGAAGATCTTGGGCTGAGTATAATACCAAGCACATCTCCTGAGGTACACATCAACCAGATAACAGCTGCAGCATATGGGCACCTGGCAAATTTGAGAATAGCATTCCGATACCTCAGTAAAGAATCGGTGAAGACTCTGTAAACTGTGTATGTCAGGCCTATGCTGGAGTATGCATCACTAGTTTGGAACCAACTCCTGGTCAAGCATGTCAAGAAATTAGAGAAAGTGCAAAGGTTTGCAACAAGACTAGTTTCAGAGTTACAAATCCATCAACAAACCCCTATGTCATAGGGGTTCGTTGATGGATTTGGAGTAATAAACATACACATAGGTTGTCTTGGTAGCATATATTAAGATGAAGAGGGGAGCACTCAGTGCCTTGACACCTGACCTGTCTACTCTGCTACAACCCATCTTCAACTGACTTGTCTCACTGAGTACTGCCCAGGTCATTACAGTTCCAATGAGTGGGAGTGATGCCATAGCCAGTGAGTCATGTAATGGTCAGTGATTAACCTAACAGTAGTCATGTAGTCAAGGTGACTCTAACGGTTACTTAAGGCATCGAAGTAATTATGAACGGAGATGGAGTACTCATTATCACCTACTGACACCATGGGATGGTCTGACTGGGGAGTTCGAACTGGAAGACTGAGCCTGGTTCTGGTAAGTCTGAGAACCACGACCTCTATTTCCTCTACTGGTTCCACGGTAGTAATGGCCACGGAATGATCAAGAGTACTGAAAATTATGTAAGATACAAGAAAATAATGAGACAGTACTGAAATATGGTGCAGAATACAACACTTAAAGAACACAAATGAAAAAAAATTAAGCAGGGCACAAGAGTGAATGACTGGAAATTAACAAAAAAAGTATTGCACACAAGAGAATAAAGAATAAATTTGTACACAAGAAAACAATACTTAGTTCAGGTTTAGAGAATGGGACATGATAACAAATATCTACATAAAAAATATAAGCATAAAAATGAGTAAGAACACGACACTGGAATTATTGCAAATTAATGAGAACAATAAAACACTGAGTCTACACTTAAGGCACAAGTCTCTGAATAACACAAAGATATTTACTGTAAATGTCTCACACACACAAATGTCTAAAAAAAAGTATCTCTACAAGCGACGGTAGAGGTGAAGGATGAGGATGGTGGCGGTGGTCTTGTTGCTGGGGGGCGGCGCACCATACCTTCACACTCGGAGAAACTCGAAGAAATTGCGCATATCTCAGTGACCCACACAGCGAGGCTTTGTAGAGGTGGCGCACAGGTATGAAGGAGTGGAGGACTCTTGACCTGCTATGTGGGCGGTAAATGAAAGGGGATAGAACCCGATATATGGGTGGAAAAATCTTAGTGTGTTGTGTGGTTGTAGGATGGTGGTACGTTGGCTGGCTGCGTCGGCTACTTTTGCGTTTGCGCGCCTGCTGATGCAAAAACGCAAAAGTTCCGCTAGGATGGTGAATATCACTCTGACCAGCATTTTAACTGGTAGCACAAAGTGATATTGGAGACTAACTTCAAAGAGGACATTGCTTGGTTTACGTCTCTATCGCAGCTGGGTTGTCGAGATGCTTAGCTGGTTTAACCCTCGACACTGCCTAGGCTGGGATGGCTTGACTGCTTGTAACGATGCACACAGCAATGACGAGCAGATTGGATGACTGGTTGAGGCAGGCTGTACGATTGGCTGAGGTGCTTCCCTGGATTGCCTTTACTAGCTGGCTTAATTGACTGTAACAGTTACTGGTGTACAAGTACACTACTACTGACAACAAGAGGACAAAAGAGTTAGGGGAGGCATGATAACGACATACAAAATACTACAAGGAATTGACAGGGTGGACAGAGACAGGATGGTCTAATAGTGGGTCACAGAAACAAGGGGTCACAATTGGAAGTTGAAGATTCAGACGAATCAAATTGATGCTAGGAAGTCTTTCTTTAGTCATAGAGTTCTCATGAAGTGGAATAGTCTGGCTAGTGACGTAGTGCAGGCAAGAACCATACGTAGTTTTAAGATGAGGTTCGATAAAGTTCATGGAGCAGGGAGAGAGAGGACCTAGTAGCGATCATTGAAGAGGCGGCACCAGGAGCTGAATCTCGACCCCAGCAACCCCCCCCCCCACACACACACACCAGATAACTGCTGCAGAATATGGGCGCCTCGCAAACCTGAGAATAGCGCTCCGATATCGTAGTAAGGAATCGTTCAAGACACTGTACACCTTGTACGTAAGGCCCATACTGGAGTATACAGCACCTGTTTGGAACCCACACTTGATCAAGCACGTCAAGAAATTAGAGAATGTGCAAAGGTTTGCGTCATGGTTAGTTCCAGAGCTAAGGGGAATGTCCTACGAAGAAAGGTTAAGGGAAATCGGCCTGACGACACTGGAGGACAGGAGGGTTACGGGAGACATGATAACGACATATAAAATACTGCGTGGAATAGACAAGGTGGTGAGAGACAGGATGTTCCAGAGAGGGGACACAGAACCAAGGGGTCACAATTGGACGTTGAAGACCCAGATGAGTCAAAGGGATGTTAGGAAGTATTTTTTCAGTCATAGAGTAGTCAGGAAATGAAATAGCCTAGCAAGGGAGGTAGTGGAGGCAGGAACCATACATAGCTTTAAGATGAGGTATGATAAAGCTATTGGAGCAGGGAGAGAGAGGACCTAGTAGCACTCAGTGAAGAGGCAGGGCCAGGATCTGAGTCTCGACCCCTGTAACCACAATTAGGTGAATACACACACACACACACACACACACACACACACACGCACACCACACACACACACACACACACACCCAAGTGGCATATTTTCGGAGAATTGGGTGGTTTACAAGGGGACAGAAACGGCCTCTCAAAATAATTTTCAAGGCAGAATCAACTCGAACCATGATCCTGCAGGAGAAAGCACGACTGAGAGACAAACAAGAGTACCAGAGTGTGTACCTCAATCGAGACAGAACATAAGAGGAAAGGATGATACTGAAAGAGAGAGTACAAAAACGAAAGGCGAAATGAGAGAAAAGGACAAAGACGAGCAGAAAAACACAGACGCAGGTGGAATGTCAAACACCCTCCATGAGAGTTTGACATTCCTATTGACATTCCTACAGCAACCCCCTATAAGAACTCTGCCCCCACCCCCACTCCCACAGCAAACCAACATAGGCCCCAGCCAGGGCTTCCAATCCCCCAACACCAATCTTTTCCCAGAAAACAGTTTTAAAAATGAAGTTGAAGTTTGGTACACAAACACGGATGGTATAAGGAATAAATATGAAGAGTGGCATGAAAGAATCAATGAGAAGACCCCAGACATCATAGCAGTCACAGAAACGAAACTCACTGAGACAATAACAGACACAATCTTCCCACAAGGATATCAGATCTTGAGAAAGATGGAAGGAGCAGAGGGGGAGGAAGGATTGCACTTCTCGTAAAAAATCGATGGAGTTTTGAGGAAATGGAAGGCATGGATGAGATTGGATGAAGGGATCACATAATAGGTACACTTCAGTCTGGGGAACATAAGTTAGTCACTGCAGAGATATATAATCCACAAGAGAACTGCAGGAGGCCAAGAGAGCAATATGAAGAGAGCAAAAAAAGCAATGGTGGACACACTGGCCGAGGTGGCACGAAGAGCTCACTCGAGGAGAGGAAAGTTACTGGTTACAGGCGATTTCAACCACAGGGAGATCGACTGGGAAAACCTGGAGCCACATGGGGGTTCCAAAACATGGAGAGCCAAGATGATGGATGTGGTACTAGAAAACCTCATGCATCAACATGTTAACTACACTACCAGAGAGAGAGGGGAGGATGAACCAGCAATACTGGGCCTTGGCTTCACCCTGAGCAGCTCAGACATTGAGGACATCACATATGAGAAGCCCCTAGGAGCTAGTGATCACATGGTTCTGTGTTTTGAATACATAGTAGAGTTACAAGTGGAGAGGGTAAGAGGAGTTGAATGGGAAAAGCCAAACAATACAAGGAGGGACTACACAGGTATGAGGAACTTCCTGCAGGAGGGTTAGTGGGACAGATAATTGGCAGGAAAGTCAGTAAATGAAATGATGGAATTCGTAACAACAAAATGCAAGGAGGCAGAGGAAAGGTTTGTTCCCAAGTGCAACAGAAATAATGGGAAGACCAAATCAAGCCCCTGGTTTACCCGAAGGTGTAGGGAGGCAAAAAACTAAGTGCACTAGAGAATGGAAAAGTACAGAAGGCATAGAACCCAGGAAAACAAGATTAGTCGACAAGCCGGAAACGAGTATGCACAGATTAGGAGGGAGGCCCAACGACAGTACGAAAACAACAGAGCATCGAATGTCAAGTCTGACCCGAAACTGCTGTATAGCCACATTAGGAGAAAGACAACAGTAAAAGACCAGGTGATCAGGCTGAGGAAAGAAGGTGGGGAACTCACAAGAAACGATCAAGAGGTACGTGAGGAGCTCAACACGAATGTACAGGGAATGTACCAACAAATGTTGGATGACATACACACATCTGAGGAGGAGGTGCAGAAGCTGCTAAGTGACCTTGACACCTCAAAGGCGATGGGACCGGACATCTCTCGTGGGTCCTTAAAGAAGGAGGAGAGATGCTGTGTGTCCCACTAACCACAATCTTCAACACATACCTTGAAACTGGTCAACTACCTGAGGTATGGAAGACGGCAAATGCAGTCCCCATTTTTAAGAAAGGAGACAGAAACAAGGCACTAAACTACAGACCAGTGTCACTTACGTGTATAGTATGCAAAGTCATGGAGAAGATTATCAGGAGGACAGCGGTGGAGCACCTGGAATGGAACAAGATAATAAACGGGAGCCAGCACGGATTCATGGAAGGCAAATCCTGTGTCACAGACCTTCTGGAGTGTTATGACAAAGTAACAGAAGTAAGATCCGAGAGAAAGGAGTAAGTTGATTGCTTATTCGTGGACTGAAGGAAAGCCTTCGACACAGTTCCTCAAAAGAGATTAGTGCAGAAGCTGGAGGATCAGGCGCATATAACAGGAAGGGCACTGAAATGAATCAGAGAATACCTGACAGGGAGGCAACACCGAGTGATGGTACGTAATGAGGTATCACAGTGGGCGCCGGTGACGAGCGGGGTCCTACAGGGGTCAGTCCTAGGACCAGTGCTATTTTTGGTATATGTGAATGACATGATGGAAGGGATAGACTCTGAAGTGTCCCTGTTCGCAGATGATGCGAAGTCAATGAGGAGAATTAAATCAGATGAGGATCAGGTAGGACTACAAAGAGACCTGGACAGGCTGGACACGTGGTCCAGCAACTGGCTTCTCGAATTCAAGCCTGCCAAATGCAAAGCCATGAATATTGGGGAAGGGCAAAAAAGACCGCAGACAGAGTATAGGCTAGGTGGACAAAGACTGCAAACCTCACTAATGGAGAAAGATCTTGGGTGACCATAACACCGAGCACGTCTCGTGAGGCACACATCAGCCAGATAGCTGCTGCAGCATTTGCGCGCCTGGCAAACTTGGGAATAGCTTTCCGATACCTTAGTAAGGAATCGTTCAAGACACTGTACACTGTGTACGTCAGGCCCATACTGGAGTATTCAGCGCCAATTTGGAACCCACACCTGGTCAAGCACGTCAAGAAATTAGAGAAAATGCAAAGGTTTGCAAAAAGGATGATAGTTCTGGAGCTCAGGGGAATGTCCTACAAAGAAAGGTTGAGGGAAATCGGCCGATCGACACTGTAGGACAGGAGGTTCAGGGAAGACATGATATCGACATACAAAACACTGCGTGGAATAGATAAGGTGGACAGATGGGCAGAGACAGGATTTTCCAGAGAGGGGACACAGAAACATGGGGACATAATTGGAAGATGACGACTCAGACGAGTCACACGGATATTAGGAAGTATTTCTTAAGTCATGGAGTCATCAGGAAGTGGAATAGCCTAGCAAGTGATGTAGTGGATGCAGGACCCATAAATAGCTTTAATACGAGGTATGACAAAGCTCAGGGACCAGAGAGAGAGAGAGGACCTAGCAGCGATCAGTGAAGAGGCAGAGCCAGGAGCTGAATCTCAATCCCTTCAACCACAATTAGGTGAGTGTAATTAAGTGAGTACACACACACACACACATACACACACACACACTCACACACAAAGTCTGAAACAGCCTAAAGAACCAAAGGACAGTATAACCATGACACCAAGAACTGCTACATCAGTCACCGATGAGAGGTCAGTAGAGAACAAAGGAGATATACTGCATGTGATGACTCTATCAGACCCAAGGGGGGGGGGGGGCTCGGAAAAAGGCAGGGAGAACAGCAGGAACTAATGAATGGGACTAAAGACAATGAAGGAGCTAGGCTATACACAGATGCTCTAATGGACAACTGCCATGTCAAGGAACAGATAAGCACAGGGTACCAGATAGGGAAGAAACAGTAGGAAGCAACGCGCCAATGGCAGGAATAATTTGTATCAGAGGACGCTCAGGGAAGTACAGTGGGAGGACGATAGGGAGAGGGCCTTTTTTGTCTATGGGCTCCAAGAAGTAGATGGGGAAACTTACGAGGCAAGGAAACAGGAGGAGAAAAAAAGACTGAAAGCATCATGAAAGCAATAGGAGAGGACGACATAACCCAGATTAAAATTTTCGGAGAATTGGGTGGTTTGCAAGAGAAAAAAAAAGTCCAGTCAAAGTGATTTTCAAGGCAGAGTCAGCTAAAACCAGATCCTGCAGGAGAAAGCATACCTAAGGGACAACCAGGAGTTCTGGAGTGTGTACCTCGACCGAGACAAAACACAAGAAGAAAGGATAATACTGAAAGAGAGGGTGCAATGTCGCAAGGAGGAATGGGAGGCAAGGAAGGTGGGGAGCAGGAGAAATCAGGCCCAGGTGGAAGAACAAATTCAACCCCCTCCAGTACCACCCACAGAAGGAACACAACCAAGGCAATCCCAAAGGGATCAAGCAACCTAACCCAAAACCCACACAATGTACCCTCTCCCCCATCCCCCTCACCACAAACCCCATCCCCACAGTAATGCACAGCAACCCACACACTGTACCCTCTATCCCCATCCCCCTCGCCACAACCCCCACCCCCACTGAAACCCCCCATAGGCCCTCTCCCCCCATTCCCCTCACCACAGCCCAAACCCCCACTGAAACCCCCCATAGGCCCTCTGCCCTCAACCCCCACACCAGAGAACCCACCCCTACAGCAACCCCCTATATGCCCCTGCCAGGGCACCTGCTCCCCCTAACCCAACTTTCTCCCTAGACCACAGTTATAGAAAAGAAGTTGAAGGTTTGGTACACGAATGCAGATGGAATAACGAATAAATGTGAGAAGTGGCATGAAAGAATCAAGAAGATATCCCCAGACATTGTAGTGGTTACAGAAACAAAACTCGCTGGGATAATAACAGATGCAATCTTCCCACCTGGATATCAGATCCTGAGGAGGGATAGAAGGAGCAGAGGGGGAGGAGGGGCTGCACTGCTAATTAAAAACCGGTCGGGTTATCAAGAAATGGAAGGAATCGACGAGATTGGAGAAAGGGATTACATAGTAGGTACAGTTCAGTCAGGGGAACACAAGGTAGTCATTGCAGTGATATATAACCCACCACAGAACTGCAGGAGGCCAAGAGAGGAATATGATGAGTTCACCAGAACAATGGTGGACACACTAGCCGGGGTGGCAAGAAGGGCTTACTCGAGTAGAGCGAAGTTACTGGTCATGGGCGACTTCAATCACAGGGAGATTGATTGGGAAAACCTGGAGCCACATGGGTGTCCTGAAACATGTAGAGCCAAAATGATGGATGTGGTGCTGGTAAACCTCATGCACCAACATGTTAGGGACACTACCAGAGAGAGAGGGGAGGATGAACCAACAAGAATGGACCCTGTGTTCACCCTGAGTAGCTCAGACATTGAGCACATCACATATGAAAGGCTCCTTGGAGCTAGTGACCTCGTGGTTGTGAGTTTTCAATACATTGTGGAGCTAAAAGTAGAGAGGGGTAACAGGAGTAGAAAGGGAAAAGCAAAACTATAAAATGGGGGACTACACAGGAATGAGGACCTTCCTGCAGGAGATTCAGTGGGAACAGGAGTTGGTAAGAAAATCAGTAAACTAACTGATGGACTTCGTAACAACAAAATGCAAGGAGGCAGAAGAAAGGTTTGTTCCCAAGGGTAGCAGAAATAATGGGAAGGACAGAGCGAGCTCTTGGAGGCAAAAACTATGTGCTCTAGAGAATGGGAAAAGTACAGAAGGCAAAGGACTCAGAAAAATAAAGAGATTAGTCGAGGAGCCAGAAACTTTTATGCACAGATAAGGAGGGAGGCGCAGCGGCAGTATGAAAATGACATAGCATCGAAAGTCAAGTCTGATCCGAAACTGCTTTACAGCCACATCAGGAGGAAGACAACAGTCAAGGACCAGGTAATCAGGCTGAAGAAAGAAGGTGGGTAACTCACAAGAAACGACCATGAAGTATATGAGGAGCTCAACATGAGATTTCAGGAAGTATTTACAGTGGAGGCTGAGGGGACACTAGGAAGACAAAACAGTGGGGTACATCAACAAGGGATATACCAACAAGTGTTGGATGACTTACAACTGAGGAGGAGGTGGAGAAGCTCCTAAGTGACTTTGATACCTCAAAGGTTGAACATTAAAATGGTATAAAATACCGACAGGTTGTTACCTCAAAGGTGGTGGGACCGGATAACATCTTTTCATGGGTCCTTAGAGAGGGAGCAGAGACACTACGTTTGCTACTAACTAAAATCTTAAACACTTCCCTTGAAACTGGGCAACTACCTGAAGTATGGAAGAAGGCAAATGCAGTCCCCATTTTTAAGAAAGGAGATAGAAATGAAGCACAAATTTTAGACCAGTGTCACTGACGTGTATAGTATGCAAAGTCATGGAGAAGATTATCAGGAGGAGAGTGGTTGAGCACCTGTTCTGGAGCAAAATTATGAACGACAGCCAGCATGGATTCACGAAAGACAAATTCTGTGTCACAAACCTACTAGAGTTTTATGACAAGGTAACTGAAGCAAGAAATGAGAGGGAGGGGTGTGTTGATTGCATTTTCTTGGACTGCAAGAAGGCCTTCGACACAGTTCCTCTCAAGAGGTTAGTACAGAAGCTAGAGGAACAGGAAGGGCACTGCAATGGATCAGAGAATACCTAACAGGGAGGCAACAGCGAGTCATGGTCCGTGATGAGGTATCACAGTGGGCGCCGGTAACGAGCGGGTTCCCACAAGGGTTAGTCCTGGGACCAGTGCTATTCATGTTATATGTGAACGACTCAGAAGTGTCCCTGTTTGCAGATGATTTGAAGTTAATGAGGAGAATTAAATCAAATGCAGACCAGACAGGTCTAAAAAGAGACCTGGACAGGCTGCATGCGTGGTCCAGCAACTGGCTCCTTGAATTTAACACTGCCAAATGCAAAGTCATGAAGATCGGAGAAGGGCAAAGAAGACCGCAGACAGAGTATAGGCTAGGAGGCCAAAGACTGCAAACCTCACTCAAGGAGAAAGATCTAGGAGTGAGTATAATACCGAGTACATCGGCAGAAGCATACATTAACCAGATAACTGCTGCGACATATGGGCGCCTGGTAAACCTGAGAATAGCGCTCCGGTACCTCAGTAAGGAATCGTTCAAGACTTTATACACTGTGTACATCAGGCCCATACTGGAGTACGCAGCACCGGTTTGGAACCCACACCTGGTAAAACACGTCAAGAAATTAGGGAAAGTGCAAAGGTTTGAAACAAGGCTGGTTCCAGAGCTAAGGGGAATGTCCTATGAAGAAAGGTTATGGAAAATCGGTCTGACGACACTGGAGGACATGAGGGTCAGGGGAAACATGATAACGACATACAAAATACTGCGTGGAATAAATAAGGTGGACAGAGACAGGATGCTCCAGAGATGGGACACAGAAACAAGGGGTCACAATTGGTGAAGACTCAGATGAGTCAAAGGGTATGTTAGGAAGTATTTCTTCAGCCACAGAGTTGTTAGTAAGTGGAATAGTCTGGCAAGCGATGTAGTGGAAGCAGGAACTATACATTGTTTTAAGACGAAGTATGATAAAGCTCATGGAGCAGGGAGAGGGAGGACCCAGTAGCGGTCAGTGAAGATTCGGGGCCGGAAGGTGAGTCTCGACCCCTGCAACCACAATTAGGTAAGTAACAACACACACACACACCACCACACACACACACACACACACACACACACACTAGGAAGTATTTCTTCAGCCAGAGTAGTCAGGAAGTGGAATAGTTTGGGAAGCGATGTAGTGGAGGCAGGATCCATACATAGCTTTAAGCAGAGGTATGATAAAGCTCACACTTCAGGGAGAGTGACCTAGTAGCGACCAGTGAAGAGGCGGGGCCAAGAGATTGGAATCGACCCCTGCAACCTCAACTAGGTGAGTACACACACACACATACAGCATGTCAAAGACCAACAAGAGAGAGACATAGAGAGAGAGGACGGGATCAACCAGCATGATTGTATATACTGTTAACACACACACACACACACACACACATACACACACACACACATACATGCACACACACACATACATGCACACACACACACACACACACACACAACACACACACACACACACACACACACACACACACACGCACACACACACACACACACACACACACACACACACACACACACACACACACACACACACACCATACACATTAGAAAATTAGTCATCATACGGGATAAAGCATCAAGATGGGATAGTGTAACTAACAGAGTTGCACAAGGAATACTCTTGGGACTCAACTGACCTATATAACCTTGTTGACGCATGATACCTACATAACGAGGGAAACCACACACTGACTATTTGAAAGAGTCCTTCAAAAACAGTTGTATTCACGCGTCTGAACACACCTCAGAAACAGACGTATTCACTCGTCTGAAGAGACTTCAGAAACAATCGTGCTTAGGAATCCTTTCAAAAAAGCCTAACACCATCGTTTTACTTCTTCTAAGCCACATCATAACACCATCTAGCACCACAGTTTGATAGCATTTTAAAACTGCTTGGAACACGCTACCAAAATTTAACACATCTGGAGTTCGACCAGACTAATCCTATGCCTAATATCAAAATCTTCTCTCTTACAGGGACAGTGATCTTCCCTTTTGGTATCAAACGCAAATTAATTCGCTATTATAACATGTAATATTATCTTGATAACCTATATTAATTACTGTCCTGTTATGATTTGGAATGTTAGTTAATGTTCTATCTTCTTATGTAACATTATTTTTAACAGTTATGTCAATAACGTAATGTTATGTTACGTCCAGTAACCTCATGTCACTGAATCTACGAGCATCTCTCATGACACTCAGACTATGAGCATCTAACACCAGGTTACACTCTCTAACTTCTCCCCAACATTTCCGATTCTTTTCTAACACTATTCAGCTCGTCTCCGACTCTTTTTATCGCACCATCCTTCCTATTTTCTAACACCTAATACCATGTAACATATTGTAGAACTCTCTTATACCTTTCAACACTCTATAGCATCCCTTTCTAACACATTCTAATGCAGATATACCTTATAATACATTCCAAGCCTCTTTGTAGCACCTGTTACTGCCTAAAACTTCATTACGCCACTTGAAGCCCTTTCAAACTCTTTCTAATTCCATCTACATTTTAGGAGAAATGTAAGCTCCTTTCTAGTACCTTCCAATGTCATCTAAAACTACCTAACATGCTAAAGCATTTCTAACACCATATACTATCACTGTCTAACACCATCTAATAAAATTTTGCTTTCTAATTTCATATAACACATTACAGCATCCTCTAACCCAGGGCGTTCGTCCTTTGCAGGGAACGTGTTCGTGATAGCTGCTATACTGCTTGAGAGGAACCTTCAGTCAGTGGCCAACTACCTAATCCTGAGTCTGGCAGTGGCTGACCTCCTGGTGGCGGCGCTGGTCATGCCCCTGGGGGCTGTTTACGAGGTAAGGGAGAAGGGGAGGAGGGATGGTGAAGAGAGGAGAAGAGAGGAGAGGTGTGGAGAGGGTTAATAAGAGGAAACGAATAGAGGAGCACTTCAGTAGCCCTGGTAGATCACGCTAGCCAAGGGTTTCATATCCCACATCCCTTCTCATGTACGTAGTTGTCCAGTTTATTTGTAAAGTTAACAAGGACCTTGATCTAACTTCCCACTCTGTTCGACTTTTACTACTACCCAAGGCATTAGCTTTCTATAACTCCCAGGGTATTAGTTTTGTACATTGACCCAAGGTATTAGTATTTAAAGCTTCTCAGGGTATTAGCCTTGTAAAGCTATTCAGCGTGTTAGTTTTTCAAGCTACCAGGGGTGATAGTTTTTTTTTTAAGTCTATCAGTGGAGCCACCTGGTAGCTTCTTCCACTCATCTACAACACTACTGACAAATCGATATTTTCCTATATCTTTTCAGAGTCTGAATATATACGCTACTTGAACCCACTATTTCGAGGTTTTTATTGCTTAGATATGCTCAGTATCTTATTTAAATCTACTTTATTTATACCTTCCCTTTAAATTCCTGAATCATATCTGCACCTATGTAACGCATGGGGAGGTATTATTTAGGAAACATTTCGCTCACCACAATTTTTTAAATCCCAAAACAAAAGCTGAGAATACATAATAGAGAGAGGGTCAGATGTGGTGAATAATGTGTATTATGTAAAGTAAAAGGACACCAGTGCAGCTATGTTTGAAATTATTGTGAATCGTTATACGCTCTCAAGTTATCGATCAAGCATTACACAATTTCTTGACACCAGTAAGGAAGTATATAAAACTCAGATGAGGTGGAATACTAAGTGAGGTACCATTTAAATTATCATAATGGTCAGATAAGTAGTTATGACATAGTAGAACATCGAATTGGATATTACTGACAATATTCACCCACTTAATTTACTCAGTCCATGTAGGTGGTTTGTAAGCTTATAAGTGAAAAAAAACAAAAAATCGATTGCAACAAAAAAATTCATTAGTTTTGCAGCTAGAAGTCTTGTACTTTACATTCGATTTCTGGTAAATTTTACCTAATTAGAATATATGAATAGATAGAGTTAACCTGGCGGTTGTTCTATAAGGATTATTGTAATGTAAGAACGCATTCAAATATCGAGTCATTCATTCCATTTCCTTGAAACCAGTAAAGGAATGTATAATAAAATGCGAATATGGGCAACTGGAAATAATAAAGTGGATTCGAAAAGTTTAAAACTTATTAAAATTATTATATAAATGGCTTCAATAACCGTCAAGTTGATGAATGAGAGACTTGTACGACATTTGGATATATTTACTGTGGAAACGTTTCACCAGACTGTGAATTTAACGTTTCACCAGACTGTGAATTTATCAGTCCGATAGAAAGAAGAACGGTGGCAATATTGCCTAGCTATATAAGTGAAAAAGAAAAACATAAAAAGAATATGAATTAAAGCTAAGACATACAAAACATTTCTTAGGTTTCTCCAGCAAGAAGTATTGTACTGTAGTCTGATTCTGACTTATCATGGTCCAGTGTAACGTGAATAGAATCACCATGAAAACAGAAGCAAAAGATTCGCTCACCTCAAACTAAAGACTGAAATATTCACACCCATGACAGAATATGCCTCAATCCCAATGAAAAGCACACGTCAGTCAATACTGTTGTGTAGTAGAACACAAGCGCAGATCTGAGTTATGAGTTGGTGGAGCATCTGGCCGAGGTCTCAGGCATAAGCAGGTGACGAGTAGATAGACGGTCTCCAGAATGGCAGGGGCACGCGTACATGGGGGTCGATTTCCACAGATGAAGTATCAAGTTGAGACGAAAATGAACAAGATTCTTTTGGTAAAGTTATCACAGCTCTTTCAGTCACTTGAAATTTTCCTGGCTCGCTCAAAACATTCGAGTTCACTGTGTGGGAGAAACGTTGTCAATAAAGGATCGCATTATATTGTATTTGTGCTTATTTTTCCAAGCTAGAGCTTTAGGTCAAAAAGCTAAGGCACAAAATCAAGACTGGTAATAGCTGCAAGAAAAACAGACACTCACATTAAATACACAGAGGAATGAATACTCACCATCGTCAGAGAACCAGATAGTTAAAAAAAACTCCCTTTGATTCCTATCCCAGCAAATTACTAATTATACCAGAGTGAAGTATGGAGAGAGGGTGGTAGGTGACACTGGAGTGAGTCGATATGCCTGTGAAACAAACACGTTAACTCACACACGACCCGCGCCACAGTCGTGGTCCCATACGCACCAAATTTACGTATATTCAAGTATACTTTCCCTCATCCTGTTGATGTGATCAAGCGTTTAGTGTTTTGAGCAACTGTATTGCTAAGACATATTAAGGTGGATTCTAGGTAACGACGACTGTAAAGGTCTTTGCCTTTTATGATGAGTTTAACCTCTTTATACTTCATAAGACGTCTCTTAGGGTTTCTGAATGACGCATGCATTAACATTGTTGTCAGTTCGTCATGTATGTTGATGCGCATTGATCTCCGGGCCAATGTATCTGGCTCTTTTTTTCCACATATATAACAGATACAACATTCTCAGCAGGATATATAGTAATGAGGACACAAAAGAAATAGGGAGGGAATGGGCTACATTTTTAATCAAGAAACATTGGATTTTAGAAGCGGTGAAAGAGACAGACGTAGAAATTAATCAAATAACTACATGGTGAGGACAGTGAAGACTGGGGGACCCCAAGTAGTAGGAGCATTAGCAATAAGAGTAATCTAAAGCTTATAACAATTGAAGAACAAGTGCAGTGAATATAAACAGAATAATAGATGACACCATAGCTAAAGTTTAAGTTTAATGTTTATTATGCACCCCATACCCATCCTGTGGGCGGTAGTCAAAAGGTTACAGAGGTACATAATTGGTCCAGGGACTGGACTCCAACCATAGCTAAAGCAACAAGAAAGTCTATAAGACAAAAACAGAGCTATTGTTCGAGGAAGATTTTAACCACAATAAACAAACACACACACACACACACACACACACACACACACACACACACACACACAGCAGAGAGAGAGAAGAGAGGAGAGAGAGAGAGACGAGAGAGAGAGAGAAGAGAGAGAAAGAGAGAGAGAGAGAAGAGAGAGAGAGAGAGAGAGAGAGAGAGAGAGAGAAGAGAGAGAGAGAGAGAGAGAGAGAGAGAGAGCAAGATGGATCTACTGTTAATCATAAATGTATCTGATATAGATGAATTATAATACAAGAGACCTTTGTATGCTAGCGACCCTACAACACTAAATTCTTGAATACCTTCTGGAAGCCAACAATGAGAAAAGAACAGCAAGTGGGGGACAGGAGAAGCCAGACTTCAGAAGAGAATAATATGAATGAATGAAACCATTCCTGAATCTAGTGCAAATGAAACTGGGACTGAAACATCATTAATGAGATAATGGAGCCAGAAAATGCTGGGAGAAGTTGGAGAACTTCATGCCCAGAAGAAGAAATAAATATTAAACCAAATGGAGCCCCTAGTTCAAGTACAGATGCAAAGAGGAAAAATAAAAAGTGCAAGGGCAGAAATAAATGTAGAAAGTGAAGATGAGAAATTAACAGATAAATGAATATAAGGACCAGAAATAGATATGCAAGGGTAGGAGAACCTGAACGACAGTTTGAGAATGACGTAACAGCAGAAGCCAAGTTTGAACCGAAATTTCATAGCCATATCAGAAGAAAGACGGCAGCAAAGGACCAGATAAAAAGACTGAGGATGAAAAAGAGCTCACGAGAAGCGACAAGGAAGTCTTTAAGGAGTTAAACAAACGAATGAAAAGAGGCACTCTCAGTGGAAATTGGGGCAATATCAGAGATTCAAAGAGAAAAGGTTCACTACCAGGTACTAGACACCATACATACAACATGGGGAGAGGTGAAAAGAAGCACTTTTGAGTTGTATCTACACATCAAAAACAACTGGACCCGACAATATGAAAGGCAGCGAATATAGTCCCAATATTTAAGAGAAAAGACAGATAAGAATGGTTACACTACAGGTAGCATTGACACGCATACTATATAGGGCAACGGAGATGATATTCAGAGAGTGGTAGAGCCCTTGTAGGTAAGTGGTTTCATATCCAATAACTAGTACTGGTTTAGATATAACAAATCTTGCTTCACGGATTTGCTGAAGTTCAGTGGAAAAGTAAAAGAAGTCAGGCAGGTGAGAGAGTGATGGGCGCAATGCCAATTCTTAATCTCCCCCCCCCCCGAGAAAAAGCATTCGATACTGTACCTTACAAGATCCTATGACAAAATTCTTAATGAGCTTGTAGGAATAACAGGGAATATGCTGCAGTGGATCGGAAAGTACCTAAAAGGAAACAGACAAAGAGGGAAATCCCGAGTTGCGAAGCCATCCTGAGAAGGCGTCAAAAGAGGGGGTACCACAAGAATCGATATTAGCACCAGTTCTGTTTCTGATATATTTGAATGAGATAGATGAGAGATAGTCAGATGTATCCCTGTTGGCAGATGGTGTAAAATCAATGAGGAGAATAAGAACCAATGAGGACAAGTAAAGGCTACAAATGGACGTAGACAATCTATAAGCTTGGTCGGATAAATGGCTACTTGAATTCAATTCCCTCCTAAGGCAAAATTATGAACAATGGAAAAGGGACACGAAGACGAGAAACTGACTAGAGACTCGTGGAACAGAAGCTGCAAACGAGGGCATATATCAACCAAATGTCACGACCTTATATACGACCTATGTTAGGCTTGTCTTAGAATATGCAGCACCATAGTGGAACTCTCACCTTATAAATCATGTTAAGATACTGAAGCAAATTCTTAAGCGTTCAAGAAGACTAAATTAGAGGATAGAAGAACTAGATTACGCAGATCAATGTCACAGTGCTCGTGGAGTGTAAAAAAAATGTATCAGGACAAAGAAGGAACAATCTTGAT